TGCTATAAATGCCGCCTCTGTCGCCTTCCGATTGTCTTTGTTTTTACATAATGCTATAATTTCCGCCCCGCCCCATCTTGGTAAATGATGTGTTTTCTGAGCATGAATTACTACCGCGCTATGTTCTGCGTTGTTTCGCATGTCCCGCTTATGTTCCTTTAATCTAACGTCTAAGCCCCTCCCGGTTTCCCCTATATATGATTTGTCACAAGAACCACAAGGAATCTTAAACACTAAACTTTTTTCTTCTCCATTTCTTTTTGTGTGGTTTTTTAGTATATCCCCTACCTTTGTTCCCGAAGAGAAAGCGATTTTAAATCCAGTCATTTCAATCTGTTTCGCTATCATCTCGGCTGGTTTCGAATTGGGAAGTGTTATATATCGTTCGGTTTTCTTCGTCTTTGTTGTCGCGCTTCGCTTTCGAATATTGATAGCTTTTCTTTTCAAGTTGACTAGAAATCCTTTGGGGTACTTTAACTTCGTGAACGATGCCATGATGTGCTGAATCTCTTCATCTATAAACTCTTCACTACAAATGCGATACGCTCTTAGGAAAAACCCCAAAACAATCCCACTTTTAACCCGGTCATTGTGTCCAGAATAGAAATGTACGTACGACTCTTTGTTTGTAGGCTTTCGATACACTTTAAATTTTGGCTGACTCCCACGTATGATCACAGTATCAAGAAATGCAATCGTCCCGTTGCTTTCTTTCTCAAGTGTAAACTGAATCTTTTCCTCTACCGAGTTAAGTCTATCAAGTTTGTCCTCTAAGTTCGTTTCTTTTGGCACTACTACGAGGATATCGTCAACATAACGCAACCAAATTACGTTACTGCCCATGATGCCCTGATAATGGTGCTTTTCGAGCCACTCCATGTACAAACATGCCGCCACCGGACTCAGTGGTGACCCCATGGCTAGTCCCCTATGTTGACTATACTCATCAGACTGAAATTGAAATCCCCCAAAGTTAAGGCACATTGCAAGTAATTTCAAATAGTCATCTTTTGGCACAGGTAACTGTTCGGAGTCCAAAAGATGACTATTTGAAATTACTTGCAATGTGCCTTAACTTTGGGGATTTCAATTTCAGTCTGATGAGTATAGTCAACATAGGGGACTAGCCATGGGGTCACCACTGAGTCCGGTGGCGGCATGTTTGTACATGGAGTGGCTCGAAAAGCACCATTATCAGGGCATCATGGGCAGTAACGTAATTTGGTTGCGTTATGTTGACGATATCCTCGTAGTAGTGCCAAAAGAAACGAACTTAGAGGACAAACTTGATAGACTTAACTCGGTAGAGGAAAAGATTCAGTTTACACTTGAGAAAGAAAGCAACGGGACGATTGCATTTCTTGATACTGTGATCATACGTGGGAGTCAGCCAAAATTTAAAGTGTATCGAAAGCCTACAAACAAAGAGTCGTACGTACATTTCTATTCTGGACACAATGACCGGGTTAAAAGTGGGATTGTTTTGGGGTTTTTCCTAAGAGCGTATCGCATTTGTAGTGAAGAGTTTATAGATGAAGAGATTCAGCACATCATGGCATCGTTCACGAAGTTAAAGTACCCCAAAGGATTTCTAGTCAACTTGAAAAGAAAAGCTATCAATATTCGAAAGCGAAGCGCGACAACAAAGACGAAGAAAACCGAACGATATATAACACTTCCCAATTCGAAACCAGCCGAGATGATAGCGAAACAGATTGAAATGACTGGATTTAAAATCGCTTTCTCTTCGGGAACAAAGGTAGGGGATATACTAAAAAACCACACAAAAAGAAATGGAGAAGAAAAAAGTTTAGTGTATAAGATTCCTTGTGGTTCTTGTGACAAATCATATATAGGGGAAACCGGGAGGGGCTTAGACGTTAGATTAAAGGAACATAAGCGGGACATGCGAAACAACGCAGAACATAGCGCGGTAGTAATTCATGCTCAGAAAACACATCATTTACCAAGATGGGGCGGGGCGGAAATTATAGCATTATGTAAAAACAAAGACAATCGGAAGGCGACAGAGGCGGCATTTATAGCAATGAACGAAACGATTAATATTAGGGTGGGTTCGATGAAATGGGCAAAACCAGCGGCGATGTATAGTTTAAAGAAGACGCGTCATTAGTTTGTATAAGTACCTACTTGTTCATGATCGTTCTGTACAAATTTGTTGTTATCCATGTGTCATATGTATGTCAGTGATCTATTTTGCTATCATTTTTCGTGGATATTCTCCTACAGGTGGATTAGTAGCGAATATGTCATATGCATGAATTTTTAAAATCAAGACGATTGCACTGTGACGAGCTCGAATGTTTGTGTGCTATATCTTGTTTTCTCTGTGATTATGTCATGCTGATGAAGATTTAATAATCGAAACGCGTCCATGCACTATTTGTTCCGTGTTTTTCTACTTGTCTCTATCAATATGCTTGAGATAGTTTCAGATCATTCTCTGCGCAAATATAGCAATTTTCATATTTCCCCATTGACTTATAAGGGTTTAACGTATTAGTTCCTTGTATCTGAGGATTTTTTAGGATTCCATCTTGTTCTCCACTCAATTCTGCGTAAGATGCCGGGTTCCGTGTCCACATAGCTTGAACGTAACGCATGCAGCGACCGCAAACGTAAATCGAGGTCCCGAATTCCCTATTCCCCAACACAGGCGGCGGCCGCTTCCTGGTCTGCGCAACATGGCGGCACCGTTGGACACCATCTGGCGGCCGATGCGCATTCCACATTATAGAGTTTAGTGGAATAACTATACCAATTGTGAGCCTAAGTTGCACTTATTCGCTGATTAACTGTGAAGTTTGGATCACTGGATTTGAATGACCATCTTTGATGATCCGTTGACTCATATGGATTGAAAAAGATATGATCCATAGAAAAATTACTACTTCGTTTGAATGGATCATTGATCAATTATATTGCACGATATTATTGGCCTTCGCCATCAGAGTTCGAGCTGGAAGGATGTGGGCAATGTTCTGCTTATTATGTTTGATGGTCATGTCATTTGGAATAAAAATATCAGCGAAGAATTCGAGGTTCACGTCTCGATGAGCTGCTTGACGCAAACCTGTTTTGTTTCTTATGTTACGTAATGATAAGTTAACATGTTTGTTGAGTTATTGATTGGAGAACTCCGAAAGAAGTCACAACTCCTTTTTGTTTTCATTAGGCAGTGTCGTGCAGAATCTGTTCCCTGTTGAGGAAGCTCCGTCGCCAATCGTCCCTGATAATGGTTGGGTTGCATGTCCCGTCTACAGTCCACTGCCCAGAGCTGGCGATTTGGATGGTGGGAGGTTGGCTGGCGCATACGAGCTGCCTGGACATAAAGAATGAATGAATAAAAATGGCCATCGATTTATCGGATGACGACGGCCTTGAAATGAGTGGTAAAAGATGTTGCTGATGTAAAAGGATGGAGGCTGAAATTCTGCTACCATTTAACTGTTACAGCATTATCTCAATGCATAAAGCAATCTTATTTCAGCAGAAAGCTTTTGATAATTCTGACGTACGAGCTTCACATCATCGGGAGATTGTCGTCTCGCTGGGGCTCCCTACAACTCTAACCACGGTTTCTTTGTTCTGCGCGTGTTTCAGCTGCGATAGGTATATCTAAATATCCCTCCAGCCGTCTGACCACTTATCACTGCACCCCTCGTCTGCTCTTGGATACCATAGCGTGTGGTATAGCCCGTCGCTTCCGCCTCTTTCTCTCCCCCATCTCCCTCGCTCTCTCCTCAATCTCGGCCGTAGTGACCGTGCCGCGTCTCAAAATGAAGACAAATTGTCCCGTAATACTGTCATCGAGCCTAGGCAGCGATAAAACCAGGATAAGAGAAGCGGGGGCTCTGCTACGCTGTACGCGCCTGTTCAGGAGGCTGCTGAGTGACTCAGTGACTCAGAGTGGGTGGCCGGAACTCGGATGAAATGACTCGAATGACTCAGGCAGATTGACTCGAGTGCTTCAGGATGACTGACTCGGGCGAACTGATTCGAGTGAGTCAGATAGTTCCTCGAGTGACTCGAGTGGGCTACCGAGCAGTAATCCATCACCGTCGACGGCACAGGTGTGCCAGAACTCCTCCCCATAGAGCGGGTTAACAGTTGGACTGTCGTACTGTGTGGGTGGGTCGCACACCGGTATCGACTCTTAACCGCGGGAAGGAAGATGGGTTCGGGAAGGCGTTAGATATTGTTATGTACCTGATGATATAAATAGTGATCCTTTATCTACTTTTGCTGACCATAATGTATTGTTCGAAGAATTGTCATCTTTAACGTGATTTTAGTTTTCTTTTCTTTTTGTCTCCTTATGTGCGTAATGGATGTGTGTTACGACTCTTCCTTTGGCCATGCACGTTCTTTTTACCTCTTCATAATATATGATGTAAAGGTGGATGTATCATGCGAGTATGTGAAAATGTATTCCATCGATGCGCCATGTTCAGTGTCATCCGCCGATTGTCTTCAGTTTCCTTCTGCATGTTATTGCGTCGCCACTTAACTGTTAAATGTTATCTGTTGGATGTGCTTGTTCGATGTATCCCTTAGCCATCTTAACTTTAATCCTACCCTACCTGCTTAGCTGTATTAACCCTGAACTTCAGAAACTGCATCTGACGCATGCCAGCAACACGCAAACCGCTTAGGCGCTTAGCATTGTTGACATGCATTGTTTGACTAACGCCAGTTAGTACTAACATGGTTCATAATTGTTTCAGGTTTTCTATGGAGTTCTATACAATTTAATTGTAAAATTACCACGATGATTCTTCTGCAAAGGCTGTTCAGATGTTTTGAGGAATTTAATTTATCGATCAGAATTTCTTATTTAGCCATTGCTCAATAAGAGAAGCATTCCAGCCCGGGCATATTCTACTGACTGTCATGGCTCGGTACCGCCCCAGTTTGACCCCGCTCTCGTGCCGCTCAAAGTTCCTCTCTCTTGACCCCTGTTCTCCATATTTTCTCAGGTTCTCTGGCGACGCACCCGACCTTACCTACTCCAAACTGCCGTGCGAAGACGGCGCCGAGACAACGGCGCTTACTGGGGTGTGGTCACGTGACACAGATGACCTGGACGAGGTCACTGACCCGCCCCCGGCGCCCGGCGCCGATCAGGATTGGCTGGAGCGAGCCATGCGTCAGGAGGGACTGCTATAGCGCAGCGCGCCTCTACTGCCATCAAGTGAGCGGACAGAGAACTTGTACCTCCTCCGGGCGCCGCCAGACGCTATGCGTGCTGTGATGAGTGCGACATCTGGTGGGGACATGATAAGCCATAGTTCTGCGGTGGCGCCACTGCTCGTCATTCCATCTCCATGGCAACGCTTGTGAGCAGAAGACGCCGGTAAACAACTGTTGTGATTCGTTGTCAACAAGGGAGCCCCACTGCCACGTGCCACCATTCACAATGGTTATGTGACTTATCACATCATTGAGGGCGCTATAGACTCGAGAAGCTAAAGTGTGCGCAACGCTATTGGTGGCGGAATTCTCACAAATTGGCCGAGTGAACAGATCACTGCTGCTATGCTGGTGGTGGTATTCATGGATACGCTCGGCTGTATATTTGACGGCAGACAACTGAGCTTGTGCTGACGCGTCTTAATCCCATCTATTTCGTGACTTTTGTCTGAACCATGCGACATCTATTGAAATCTTTGGTTTGTTTAAATCGAATGCAGTCTTGTTCTGTCTTTGTTTTGTATTTTTGCTTACACTGTGTGATTGTGTGAGTTGTTTTATCATTTATCGTTTTGATCGACATGTTAGGGTCTTTCTTGGGGTTGGGGAATCATTTTCTAGTCGTGAATACGTGCCCAAATCGCGATGTTGTTTCTATGTGTGCGGATGTATCTTTCCGAATGACACGAGTGTAAGGCTATCGTATTGCTTTTGCGATCTTTTTTCTCAACGTGGTGACTATCGCGTGCTATTAAGTTTTCACGAAGGCATTCGGAGTCTTTTTTCGAAACGGTGATGACGATTGACGACGCTGTCACATGACTAGGCGTTGTCTGCATGTATTGAATCACGTGCTGTGTGCTGTGCTTGATCGCATTGGGCTAGGTAGCTGTGTGGGAGCCTGGGGCTCGATTTCAGACACGAAGACCGCTGCATGTCGTACGAAATATACCGATAGATTCGATGAGGTTGTTTGTTTGATGGGTGTTAGGGCAATTTCGAACATCATAGAAGGGTGCGTATGAGGATAATGAGTGGCATTTAGGCACACATATTGTGGGTACGTATGGGTGCATGTGCACGCCTGAACTGCAATAACGAAATGTTGAAGACAGATGAAGCACGGAGACTTCTCAAACGGTTTTCAGCAATTTATGATAAGGTGCATGGTAGCGCCATAGTTGATCTACCGGTCTGCATAGTGCATAGACACATGGTACTGAGCTATACGAGTACCGTAAGGTGGGGCTATTTGAGACAGTGGGGCTATTTGAGACAGTATTTAAAATTGCTATAAAATAAAAACCACTTAAAATTTATGCTTAATTATTTGCTCAGGTGATTTACTGCTCGATTCCACACCTCCCTGAGTAAAAATATAACGCAAAAATCAAACGATCTTCATTTTATAGCGATTTTAAATACTGTCTCAAATAGCCCCACTGTCTCAAATAGCCCCACTTTACGGTATGTCCCAATATTATCACCCATGATCTCGTCTCGATTTCTGAACCAGTCAGCTATAAATTCATGATCTAACTGTCGTTGCTTATTCAGACCACACAACTCCCCAACTCAGCTGCTTGCTTCCCCCCAGATGAAAACACACCCTGCTCCAAAGAAAGCACGCCTCGTTTCAGATAGAATCATCGCCGCTCTGAGAAGCTACGTGGTATTTTTGGCGAGAGGCGCCACAGACTGTCACGATTAGTTGCTGTGCACTGGAGTTGGTACTTACGACCCCACCCGGCGGTCTGCCGTGGCGGTGGTCATCCTAACGTCTGAACAGGGTGGCTGTAGCTGACAGCTGTCAAAGTCAAATGATTGTTTCAGTCTTCTCAGGCGGTAGTCTGTACTGCCCTGCACAGTGCACAATCCATGCGCTCTGTAGCGTGGAGCTGGAGTAAGCGGTCGCCATTCACGCTCAAAGAGAGAAAGCCAGCCAAACATCAGTTTCGCAGCAAACAAACGGCCGTTCAAACGCTGGATGTTGACTGAGCATACGCACCTGCCCCCCCCCCCCTCTCTCTCTCTCTCTCTCTCTCTCTCTCTCTCTCTCTCTCTCTCTCTCTCTCTCTCTCTCTCTCTCTGTCTCTCTGTCTCTCTGTCTCTCTGTCTCTCTGTCTCTCTGTCTCTCTGTCTCTCTGTCTCCCTCTCTGTCTCTGTCTCCCTCTCCCTCTCCCTCTCCCTTTCCCTCTCTCTCTCTCTCTCTCTCTCTCTCTCTCTCTCTCTCTCTCTCTCTCTCTCTCTCTCTCTCTCTCTCTCTCTCGGGTTTGTCGTATCTTACGGAACTTTCTGCTATCAGTGGCAGCTGGAGCAGTGGAGCAAACCAGAGGAACCGCTCCCCCGTGGCGTTGGCTGGATGTTTGTCTGTGTGTATGTAGTCTTCCTGTTGTGAGCGCAGATGATGGTGTCCTGTTACTAAGTAAATAATTTCACCGGTCAGCGCACTGAACGGTAGAACTGCGATGTTGGCTGTAGTAAATGTTTTGAAGCTGTGTAAAGTTGGATAAGAATGGCGTCTGGTGTGTTCTCGAACAGAATAGCATTTGGCAAAGCAATTACATCTATCCAATTTCAGCACGCACCACTCTCATTAGATCACATCATATATGCCCATGAATCTGGTATGACGCAGTACGATACAGTAGTTGTCACCGAGACTTAGCTGCCATAGCGATCGGGGACTTGGGCACGCTATTCGGTTCACCCTGCCACGACCACCCTGCGCTGATTTCATCATCAGCATCCACCAAATGCAGACAACGGATGCCTCCAGCCGTGCATGAAACATTTTATCTTCCTAGTTCCTGCTCTTGCGCTATACGCTGCAGCGAAATGGTCCTGCGTCCTATCCGTGCTTTGAAGTTCGCCGATCATACCGGACGTTCCAAATAAAACCGTTTTGCAGACCTTATATAAACGTGGTCGGTCGCATGGCTGTTCAGCGAAGTTGTGCAGTTTATTGCCGGACCAGAAATACGAGACGAGATTCATGATAGTTCATGTAGAAAACAACAGTTATATAGCTGTGAAACGATAATGTAGCACAACAATGAACGGAATGTAGTTATTTATTCAGGCTACGCATCAACCTCACATGCATGTGGCTGGCTGGGTGTTCATCTTAACCCGGCAGGCGGTGGGCCTACCAGCCACCTTCCACGCGGTGGGGGGGGGGGCACTTTTTTGCCCCCCCCCCCCGTATCTCCGAAACTACTGGACGGATCCGGAAAATTCAAACGGCGTTCGATAGCCCTGTCAAATTTGTCGAAGGAAACCAAATTTCATTGACCTCGGGGTCACCGATGACGTCACAGGTCAGGTCAAAGATAAAATGTTTCACCGTTCACAGGGCTTCTAGGGAAAGCGCTATAACACCGAGTAAAACGCATTTTGTCGAAAATCAGCGATAAGGCGTCAGTTGTCTAGTGCATATGTTGCTATTAGAGGTCACTGGTCATACCAGGTCAGGTCACAGGTCAGGTCACCAAAGGTCACCAAGGGTCACCACATGAGCCCAACTTTACTAAGGTTATGTGATGCATGTTTTATGGCCAGTTTTTCATTTCCAACTCAATGGTGTTGGTTATAAGACCATCAGGTACGGTTTAGGTCACTTTCTGGTGGAGGTCAGGTCAAGGTCAGGTCAAAAAAGGTCAAATTTCAAAGTTGATATTTTTGCATAAAATGGGTATCGATTCGATGTAGCTCGTCACGGGGAGTCTAATGGTGGTCTTTGTTTTGCGCTACGAGGTCTAGAATTGCTAAAAATTGAGTTTGAAAATTTGACGTCATCAATTTTGAACAGTTTTTTCGCTATAACTTGGCCAAAAAACGAGGTATCGATCTCAAATTTGGTATGTAGATAGAAGGCGGTAGGGACTATCACAGATATTCCGGTTTTTTCGAAATTCAAAAAACTTTTTGGATTTTTTGGCTATTATATTCAAAAAATCTATTTTTTGATTTTTGGGGGTCAAAATCCAAAAATTCGAAAAAACCGAAATAGCAGTTTTGTAGCCCTTTTGATTCCACACCTTTTATGTCAAAAAACATTTTTCTGTATCTCTAAAGCTGTAGGCCTGACAGCTCTTCCCGCGAAACCTTTTTTTGGGTCGAAAATGGCAAAAATGACGTCACTCTTACGTCATTAGCGGCCAACCTATCATAGCCTTTGGAAAAATGTTTGGTCACCATGTGCGCTAGCTGCTCCCGGGAGGGTACTGAAAGTTTGGTGACGATCGGCGCAGCGGTTCTCGAGATATATCGAAAAAAGTAAAGGGGGGGGGCAAAAAAATGCCCCCCCCCACCGCCTGGAAGGTTAAAATAAAATGAAAACACTTAGCAACGGTGGCTGCGTTACGGTTGTCCCACTGGTTGTTTCTCCATCTACACTCAACACATGATGCAGCCTATGGCTAATTGCCTATTCAATCCAGCCTTTCATGGGTGGAGCTTTTCCAGGAAAGTTGGTGGGGCTAAAAGTTGTCAAACCTAGTTGCCCGATTGTTAAGTTAGATAAAATACAACGATGAATCAATTCTTTTCATTACAGAGATAATATTTTGCATTACACAGACTTTTCAAAGCTCCTCAATGCGAAAAAAACATTGTTTTGCTAAGCAGTAAAGCCCTGCAAATCGGCTTAAGTTGGTGGGGCAAAACTCTTATTGGTGGGGCAAAATGGCAAGTTGGTGGGGCAGCCGCCCCACCAAGTGAATAGGAAGCTCCACCCCTGCAGCCTTTGGCATATGCAAAGCATCTTTATAGCCATGTTGCTTTATCCCCCGGATTGTGTGGCGGGCAGCTGGGCCACTGGACAGATACTGTTCCTGGCCACTAAAGCGAACCCAGCAGTGGGCGAAGGAGAGCTGTCGGCAAAATTGACGTCATTCCATACACTGGCATAGATGTACCGTTAACAATCATGAATCAGCTTTTAATATTAGGAAGTTCCTGTCCCGTGACCCGTCCCATCTGCAACGGCCAGTGGTGTGGATATCTCTCTGTCTCTGTTGCTCAGTACCCGGGTCACATTGCCAGATTGCAGGTCATTCGGCTGGCCAATAACAGCGGTACGGTACGGGTGGGCTGCAAACACAGCTGCCAATTTCGGAGCTCGGGAGGTCAGCGGACGGAACATGCGGTGACATTTTACTACAGTTCGGCTCTGGCCTCTGGCTCACCAGCGTTGCTGCACCCAGCACTGCACTCGGCGCATGCAGACTACCTTCCTCAATTTCGATCCAATTATCTTTTTACTATAAGTCGGCTTCCAATATTTGCTTCTGAGCCTCGCATTAGGTATGATGTCTTGTGTGGTGCGAAAGGCGTGAGACTGTTTCGCCTATTAGATGCCCCTTCAGACAAAACCAGCAGCACAAACTCTCACCAGCTCCACGTCCCCGGCTGTCTTCAGAGTTCAGAACGACCACGCCGGCAAATATCGACTAAACCATCAACTGACAAACTGCTCGCAGCCAATAGCCATCAAAGCTCCGCCCAAAGGGGAAGTCCTGGGGTAGGGGGCTGAGGGGGATTCCGTTCCAATGAATGTCGCAGTGTTTTATGGTGTCGTAGGAATAAGCATCCAAATGACGTGCTATTCGTCTGGTGAGGGTAAAAAAATGGCTGCAATGCTATAACACGGGACGATAAAAGAGCGAACTATCCAAACGTTTTAATTTTCGGGACCCGCTGAAAATATGTGTTATTGTTTGCAGATTCCTTTACAGCCAAATGCGAATAATTTATTAGTATTATCCAAGCTGAAACGACAGTGATAATGTTTCAGACGAGTTGACGAAGAGGCAGATTCATTTTGATTCGGAAACGAGACAAATACGTTGGAAATAAGCAGCAACATTTTACGCTGGCTGCGATAAACTTACCGGTCAATTGGATCAAATTATCAGCCGTGCGCCTGGACACCGAGCCTGGTAACTAAATGCTGCCACCATT